AAGTAATTTCACTTAGCTTCATGCCAATATTGAGCATCCACCTCTTTCATTGTAAACAGATTTCACATATAACTCACCCCAGCCACTGGGAGCACATGTAAAAAACTTGTGAGTTTAAGAATCCTCCATTCACCACCCAAAGTTTGTCTGAAAAACACTGTCAAAGTTCTGCAAGTCAAGAGAGATTAGAAAATCTAATTTGGAACAACTTTGCAACAGGTTGTTAAATAAGCTGAGAAGGGGGCAGATTTCTGCCTTATACTGCAGAAACCTAAGTGCTGCCAGCTGGCACTGATGGTGTCTGTGAGTACTGTGAGGTACAGCTTCTGCCTAACAGCTTTCCACTTGGTATCAAGTAGGAGCCAGGGTGAACACGTGGAAGTGACTGGGCTGAGACTGAACAGGGACCAAAACCTGCTGTCCAAGGAAGGTCTTTGCATCCTAAAGTCTGACTCATCATACAGCAGGCTGTAGCTCCAGGTTTTCTGTTTGTGATCTTGTGGTCCATCTGGGGGCTCTGTGTGGTACCTCCCTCCTGTCCTGCAGGTCTCCCAGGAATTACTGGCTCGGTGTGGTATGCCATTGATGTCTACGTGGAACGCTCCTCTCTGGTCTTCCACAACGTGTTTCTGGGCATCCAGTACAAGTTTGGCTGGTCATGTTGGCTTGGCATGGCGGGGTCACTTGGCTGTTTCTTATCTGGGGCCCTGCTCACCTGCTGCATGTATCTTTTCAGAGGTGAGGAACTGTGGCAGGGCTGAGACACAGTTCAGAGACAGAGCCACTGCTCAGGGTGTGCTACAGGTGCTCAGGGTGTGCTACAGGCACACAGGGTGGGGAAAGTCCTTTGGAGACATTCTTCCGGATGGTTGCTCATCCCCAGTAACAATGTCTTCAGCTGTAAAATGGGAAAAGTCTCATTTCAGCATCTCTAGAAAGCACATCAAGGTCTTCAGGTGGGATCTGAGGTGTCAGCGTCACGTTAAAAGTGTTATTATGTCATATCTTAGAGTGCTGCTTTCTCTGCATTTTGAGGCTTTGCAGCTGAAAGTCACTGAGCACTCAGTAGCAGATCCTATTTCTCTCCCTATGCCTCACAGAGACCAGCTCTAGAAGACTCCACTCTGCTTACTCCTTAAGGAAAGGCTATTCCTCAGCTGGGACAATTGTAACAAATGTGCATTTGCCATCCTCGCAAACAGCTACTGCCAAAATGTATGCAGTTGACACAAGAGTATGAGGAGGAGGTAAGCACTCCAGAACAAGCTCTACTTGCACTTGTATGGCTTGCACAGATACCCAGGCTCCTGGTTGCCACACAGATGTGAAGTTAAATTTTAAGGATGTACTGTATGCTATAATATTTGCATTATGAGAGCTTCGGAAAAAAAATCCTTGAAGAAAGTAACCTCTGAGAAGGTTTTGTTTTAGGGAATCCATTGTCTTGAGTGCCAAGACCACTTGCGTAAGCACGGACTGAAATAACCAACACAAAGTCTTTCAGCATTTGTCTCAACAATATCAGTATGAGCGAGATAAATCATCTGCTCCTGGATCAGATGCCAGTGTTCTGCATGGAGATCCCCAAACTGTAAGACGGATGTGTTCCATGTCTGCAATGTGTCAACAGACTGTGCAAAGCAGAAAATACAGGTGAAGAGAGGGACTGATCGTCCAGCCAACATCTGGACCATGCGTACCCAGCATGGGGGTCTGCGGCTCTTACAGGCAGCTGGAGAGTTCAGCAGAAGATAAAGAGCTGTGTTAAATGCTTGACCCTCTCTTTGGCCTGTGAACCTCTGCACTGAGGAAACACTGTAAGTTCAGGTGCACATTACAGTCCTTCTCAGTATGTGCCAAAATGTATGTTACAGATGCTCTAGACTCACAGATCTGGAAATTGATAGCTTCTTTATGCTCAGTAAAAGTTTTGCCTGGACAAAGTGAGTGAAGATCCAAGATCTGATGTTGTGCATGACAATATGTCTATACCAGCTAGAAACTAGGATAAATGATAGTGATCTATCAACAAATATTTAAATCTAGTTCAGGACTGCTGTCCCCTCCCACAATCCAAGCTCCCATAGGCTGGATGAGGCTAGAGCATCAGCCGTGTCTTCACTAGCATGGGTGAAAAAAACCCAGTGTGGTTTAACATGTTCCATAAGGACGGATGCAAAAGTTCTTCTATGCCTTTAATGAAAATCAAGACACAATTTTCTTAGGGTTGGTAGGAACTGTTCAAATCCAGTCCTTTCTACTGTGAGCACCACATTATATAGTCATGGGGACCAGGGGTTGGGAAAGGCTCTCAGCACAAAGATATACCTGCCTGGGGTCAGTGGAGAAACAACAGTGGAGTTGCAGGAGGGTGTGCACAGCTGTGGGTACTGAGGCACCACCAGAGGTAGGCTTCCTCCACTAACTGCTTGAGGGGGAGACTGGATGGAGAAACTTCTGTCCTTCCCCCAGGCAAACTGAAGTGAAGCCTTATGTTATGAGTGCCAGAAGGAGATGGGATGGCTGTGGATGGAGTGGGCTGTGTCTCAGACAGCACCTCTGATAGCCCCTACAGTGGAAGATGAGGGGTTGAGTCCTCTCACAGGTTATCCTAGAAGCAGCATCTTGTGCTGCAGCACAGAACTGACCAGCAATGTTAAAGCATAACCCAATCCTGACATGGCTCCTAATCAAAGAACATTCAGGCCCTGGGACAGATAGGACAACAGCAGGTCCATATGGCTTTGCCATGGGCTCAAGCACCTCCACAAGGCTCAGACCATAATGAGCCCATCTCAGCAAGAGCCCTCATGGCAGCACTGCTGCCCAGGCAAGGGAGGCTTCATGCCTGCAGAGTTCATGCTGCTTCGATTGACAGACATTTATGTTAGCCAAACTGAAAGCAACTTTTTGCCAGCAGATGAGCGATATTGAACAGATGTAAACACAGTAGGAGAAGTGATGAATGCTTTTTTACAAACTCCTGAGAGACAAGAGTACAGGAGTTATGAACGATGTAATGAACCCATGGATTATACCAAGAACTCTCAAAGAGATCTGTAGGTGATAGAAATTTCTTCCTGCTATTGCAGGAAACTGCATCCAAAGCTTTTTTCTTTTTTAACTTTTTCAGTGACATTAGAACTGTATACTTGCTGTCAGGCTTTTGGGGCAGAAGAGCTGGTGCTGGTACAGCTGTGCCAAGGCAGGAAAGCTCTGTGGATGTTTTTGAGTCTGGCTCCTGGGCTGCGGCCCTGCTTCCCTGTTCTTTCAGGGATACACTAGGAAGGAGAAGGGAGGGTGAACCCACTGCAGAGGCAGAGCTGTATTTAGCATCTGCTCCAGTGACCACTTGCAGTGTTCCTCCCCAGAGAGGAACCTCCTCAAGGCAGGAGAGAAGCAGCAATGCCAGGGACCGCCCCAGCCCAACTCACCCAGTGCAGAGATGCTCTTCAGTAGGAGGTACTAAGCAAAGACATCATCACCTGGACCAAAATTCTGGATCAAATCATTCCCACATTGTGCAGCCAGCACATTAATCCTCCCCACTAACACTCAGGAGCAGTCTCTTGGTTTCTGTTTTCTATAGCTTTTTCAGAGGCATGAAGATTATCTCTTGCTGGAAAGATTTATTTCTTGTTTAGCAAGTGAAAAGTAGTCTAGGATCAGCTGCTAATCCTAGAGTTATAGAGTCACAGAATGGTTTGCATTGTAAGGGACCTTGAAGATCATCTAGTTATGTGAATGTAAAGAAGATCTCAGATCACTGATTTCTCCTGGTCTTTTCCTTCCTTATGCTGTAGTTGAGGAGACTTTTGAGGGCCTTTGTCCTAAAGGTCTTCAGTTTGTTTTATGGTGCTGGGGACTGTTTTGTGACTTGCAACACTTGGATCACACCAAGCACTTGCTCAATGGGCACTTTGGGATCGGGGTGAATATAAAGGGCTGGTCTCATTAATCCCTCCAGCTCTGTGCTCTTCCTGGGGCTACATAGATAGGGTACATGCATACCCCAAATACTACCTTAACTCAGGGTCCATCATCCTCAGATACACTTTGCATATGAAGAACGTACATACAAGTATTCTTTGCATACAAAGAACATTGAATAAACATTTGTGATCCTTTCTCTTCTACAGAATCTATGTAGAATAAGGGTTAATTCTTTAACCATACTCCTGCTTTAGCCACACTCTATGATAGCTTTTGAGGATCTATCTCCTGCAGAAGAGGACTAGGTAAAGGTCACAACAACCCTTAGGTTTTCCAGGTTAATGTTTTGTAACAGCCAGTCCAATGATGCATTGCTTCATTATTCACATCCTGCTGACAGTCTATCTGATGTTTTGATCAGTTGTTAATATTTAATTGTTAATCCACTGATTTAGTTCTGACTCTGATTTCATGACTGCAGTATTTACTCCTCATTAGCTCATTACCATGCCATAATGCAGATCTATTTTAGCTTGGTTGTTTATTCATTAGCAAGAAACCTCTCAGAAAGTGTGCAAGACTTACTTTTTTTTCAAAATCACAAACTAAAGATGCTGCAGGTGAGCTCAGATATTAAGGTATTTCCTTAGTACCTAGCTAAGAAGAAGCAGTTCAGAAGCAGCTCACTTGGAATTAGAATAGATTGACTTTGCCTTCTGATATCCATTGATGCCTTACCAAAGCTCTTTGCTCAGTTGCAATTTCCAGCTGAGGCCCAGCATTTAATCCTCCAGTGCCAGCACCTTTTAGGCTTCTCCAGATTTTCACTGACTTCCAAGGAGTATTTTTTGTACATCTGGGGACCTCGTAGCTTCATTTCCCAGGGTATAGGCAGGATCAGATACTTAGCTGAGAGCTGTGATTCTCAAGTTTCCTCCCTGCTGTATCTGCCCTGTGCTTACTCTTTGAACTTGGGGCTCCTCATTCCCCTTGCCACTGACAACACACAGATTGGTGCAGTCTGCCAGAGATCTGCCTGGTTGTATGTTATGGAAAAGAGTAAAGTCTTGTAGGTAAGCTCTTTGTTAAGTTGATTTCATTTTGTACGAATAGGTATTGGTTTCCCATTTTGATACATGCAAGTGAGAGAAATAATAAAACAATATCTGAAATAGCTGTCCTTTTCTGCATGCAGTATTTTGTCCTCTCACTACCTTAATCAGCCTTGCTCACAGGGGCTCTTAATAACTCTGCCTGTAATTAGAACTCACTCTTACTCTGACCTTGTGAACTAGGCTATCTCCTAGTGCAGCTGCATGAATATTTCCCAAAATACAGATTTCTCACCTTTTCACACACATTGAAATATGATTTAGTTCTGAATTCAGTAGATCTGAACAATTATTCTCAGTAGATAAGAATGCTACTCAAGAATTCTGTTTTCCTTACATATTGTAGCATTAGTGAGATCTAATAAATGCAGCTGCCTTTGAATGTCATGTTTCTCTCACCCATATCCAGGTTTCCTCCAGAAAGGTGCTTTGCCAGGTGACCTGCTCTGACTCCTGTGGGGGAAATCACTGCTCTCCTGCAAGGACACAAAAGAGGCAGTAGCACAAACAGGACCAGCCATTGGGACAGGGGGGTGGGATTTTGGAGGCTACCCAGACCTTTGCTGGTAGCTACAGACCTCAAGCCCCACTGCCTACCTGCAGCAATGGCCCTTTGACAGCTGTAGACTTTATGCCCAGTTTAAACACATCTACTTATAGTCATTTTATCACCTTTCCAAGTGAGAAAAGTAAAATTCCAGCAATAAAGTGAGTTTTTCTCTCTCAGCTGGGGCTGGACCTCCCCCTCCCCTGCCCCATCCCCAGTTTGCTCTTCTGCATCTGTTAAATATTCTGGACAAGCAAATAATGACTAAATTACTCTGTCCGAGCACTGCTACTGGGAGTAGAGAACAATTTTCTCCCAGTAGCTTTTGGGTCCTTGCTGTAAGATGCCTTTAAGTGAGAAAAGCAAGAGCCAGAATTGTGCCATCCTATGACCCAAAGAAGGGGAGTATCTGTCATTAGCCCTTCCCAGCACAAAAGGGTTTAGGCCATAATCCAGAGTCTTCAGATGGCAATAAAAAACAGATTAATGAGCATTTCTAGTATTTTCCCACCTTTCATGTGCAACCCTCCTGGCAGCTCTGACTGATCCCCTTTTATGATTCAGCTGCCTATGGTTTTGCTCTGTTTTGCCTGGGAGCCAGTTTATGACTTTATTGTTCTGTTCTTGATGTGCAGAGGTGAAAGTCCAACTGTGCACCTCACCACATTCCCTTTGTCTTTTGCTTTCAGATGGTTACTGAGCAATTAGCTCCTCTGCACTCCTCCTGTTTCCCCCTCTCAAGGCTTACTGGCAAGTTCCCATCCCCAAATACATCAGCCTTCTAGTGTTTTCTGGGGTCTCCTAAAGCAGTTTGCCACTTCTTCTCAAAGTCAGAAGGAAGTGTAAGTCAGAGGCTGAGTGGCAGCCAGAAGGCCACAGCAGAACAAGTGTTTTTCCAAAGTGCACCCTATTCTTAAAATGAATTATAAAGAAATGGTTCATCTTTACTTATAACTCAGAAAACATCATCCATACTGCATTAACTGCCTTCATTAAGGGCTGAGTGCTTAGAAAAACATACCAGCCAAAATCTCTGCTTTTGTAAGAATGGGAACTGAGGTTTGGGTATCCTGGTCCATTCTGCTGGAGCACCTGGGAGCAGGTGGCAAGCTTTTGTGGGCAACAGTAGATTGGCAAGACTATCCCAAACACATTTGTAGAATGAAGGAAGAAATCCATGCTTTTGTCCATTTCAGTGATGAAGAAGCTAAGGTCCAGGGCAGTGCTCACTGAGCTCCCTCTCAGGGTACTCTCCTTCCCTACCCCAAGGCAGCAGCAAGGTCAGGTTATTGCCTCTAAGCAACCCTACACAAACTTTGGGGTTTTTTTTTTAGATGACTTCAGGTCTTCAGCAGGGTTTGGAAGCACCCATGCCTCCCATCATGTTGCACAAATACCACAGTATACAGCTTCCCCCATGCTGGTGATTCTGTCTGGAGCCTAATTTTGTGACACCCATCAGCCTGCTTTACTATAAGCCACTTGATACAGTTTTGACGGAATAATTTTATTCCTTTTGTGAATAATTAAAACACCCAAAACATGAAGCTGAGTGCGCTTGAATGAACACTTGTATCAGGGAAACAAGAACCTGTTCCCACGAACGTTTGTCCGAGAGCAGAAGCCTCCTCGGTGCGTTGCTGAAAGCCTCGCTTGCCCTCTGCTGGGCAAGGATTTATTGCCTCTGTAATGAGTGCCACTTCCTGGAGCTTGTAAAAGAGGGATGAAGAGCGATGGAGGCACTGAAATTAGAGCAGTCGTTGCTTGTTAGCCTCTCCAGCCGTTTGATTAGAAGGTGACATTCAATGAAATTACAGGCAGCAATTTATTTAGAAGCAAGCAATTAATAAGCGGGAGACGGTAATGTTTTATGCAGCATATAATGCAGACAACCTGTGGAGTTAACTTCCACCGAGGGGGTCACTGAGGCAAATGCAGTGTATAGGACAGAAGGAAGCAATGGCTGATTTAATGCCCAGTAGAAAGGCTATGCAAGCTGAAGTGACAAACATAATCAAATCTCATGCTTCAGGGCATAAATTGAAGGGGGTGAGTATTGGAAGCACTTATGTATAGAAAAGGTCTGATCCTGGGAGGTGCTGATTAGCTGCAATTCCTAGTAAGCTCAGCCAGCGAAAGGACACTCAAGAATTGTTCAGCTTCTCTGCTGGCTGAGTCTGTACTTGCTAATTTTTCTTATTAATATATCCTGTAATATTTTAGCCTGCTGGCACAAACATTCAGTTTGCTACGGTAACATTTATTTCCTTTCACACAACAGTCAAACAGTAAAGCTGCCTCTAAAATAAGATTTTATGGACATAATTTGCGGTGGTGCTGGCAGAGAATTTCTCTCTCAAAATAAGCTGTAATTCCTTATCTAGTGAAGATACTTATATAGCCTCATTAAGAAAATATGTGAGCACTTCATAACCTTTAGTGGATTTATCTTCCCAGTTTCCTTCCTGAGCAGGGGAACTGGTACTAACCACACTCTACAGGTGGGGAGCTGCTCCACAAGGCAGGCTGTGGGCTTCCGTTAGTCTTCTGTGGTACCTAACATGAGCCCAGCTGCCCACTTTTAGTGTGAGCCCATGCTCTACAGGCATGCGGTGCACGGTACTGGGTGTGATATTTACCTTCTATACCAAGAGAGATCTGAGTGCAGCCTCCAGCCCTTGCCATTGAGAGATCAGATCAAAGGTGGAGAGGTCAGACAGGCTGAATCCAGCCTTCAGTGACCTGTCCATGACAAAGGACATCTTTACTTTCATTTGGAATCCAGTTCAGGGGGAAATTCAGCATCTTTCCCCAGCAATTTGAGAACTGTGCAGGCTAATACCTCCTAAGAATGCAGTGCTGATCCTTCTTGAGTATAAGGCAGTCTGGATGGCTTCTTAAAATCTCTTTCCATCCAGCCTGCAGTGGTCATCTCAAAGAAAATTACATTCTTTATCCCAATAAATTTCTGTAGCTAAGCACCAAATACATAACTCCATAATTCATGTCTGTGGGGAACTGCCATATGGGTCCTGGGCAATTTAAACCCTGCAGGTCTGCAGTTCTAGGGCAAGAGTAGCTGAAGACAGTCACTATGAAATTAAGAACAGTTCAAATGAGCAAACTCACTTTTTTTTCTGTGCTCTCTAACCACCTCTTGCTTCTGATGCTCTCTCCATAATCCCCATCTCTTGTTTTCCCTTCCCTGGCTATAAATTTGCTGCTTTTCACACTAGGCAAATCTGATATGTTGTGCTAAATCTTTTAAATGTGGCAAAGGATCCTTCATCACAGAGTGGCATGATTGCATTACAATGTATTAGAACAACATGACTTTGCCAGAGGGTGTTTGTTGGCACCCTGCCGAATGAAAGAGGCAGCCCAAGTCTGAGAAGGAACTATCAAGTCATTTATCAACATTCGGTCCTAAACTGCACAGGTTTGCACCAGCTCAAGCAACCTTACAGAGATAAATCTGGAGGCTGAGACAGAAACCCTGAGTGCAGACAAGCCTTTGAGGGAGCTTCTTGAAACCCAGAGCCCCATCAAAATGTCAGGTTGAGTTCCTGTGACAAATTCAACACATGCTTTTGGCATTTATTCTGTTACATTTAGTCTTACGTTTTAGGTTTAGAAGAAGTATGTGCTGCCTTTCAGTCTCTTGGCCAGCCTGCAGAAAGGGCTGATTTGATCTCACGCTACTATAGCATAATGGAAGATCTCTGATGGAAAAAGTGGAATCACAGAAAGCAAACATGTGGTGTCTAGAGCTTGTTTTCCTTCATAATATCCTCATAGGATGGAGGCAACTCAGTTTCCCCAAGGCTGAACCGTGGGGCAGGAGAAGAGGACATCTCTGTGGTCATGCAGGGGCTCAGAGATCCAGAGAACAGACACTGAGGTGCTTCACTCGCTGGGGAAAAAGCAAAGCAATAACCATACAGCAGACAGGCATGAAGAGTAAGTGTTGGGTGAAAGGGGTGAGCCTGGGAGGAGCTGCCCAACTGCTTCGAAACAAGAAAGGCATGGATGTAATTTTTTAAGTATGGCATCACAAAGCTGCTCACCACAAACTCCAGATACAAGAAGTGAGAACAGAGGAATTTGGGTGGGTTTGGGGTGGGTCCTCCCTGTGGAGACGCTATTCATAACCACCCAGAAAGCATGCAATACCTTCTCTGGGAAACACTTAGTCTAATGACTGGATTAGCTTTGTTCTTCTTGGAGGGACTGTTTGGCCCAGCCTGTTGATGTACTGGCAATACTCCAGATCAGTGCTGGGTGCTACACATAGTCATTGTAGCCCAGTCTTCAAAAGTCTGGATGCTCTTGGGCAGTGCTGAGGGTGCCTACCACAATGAACAGTGTTCACCAACACAACTTTCTGACAGACCCCAGGGTGCTACTGGTGGCTCAGGTAGGCTGGTGCAGTTTTGCCTGAATGAGAAATGGAAGTCATGTGTTGGAAAGGGCTGTCTGCCCCCAGGCAGTGCCTGTGGCTGTGTATGTTTTGGCTGCTAAACATGCAAACGTACAGCTCAGGCAAAGTGGATGTAGCTGGCTTAAGCCCTCCAGTGCACAAACATCCCCACAAGATGCTCGAGCTGGGCATCCCACTGCTCACCAGAAACACAGCACTCAGCTGCATCCCAGCTCCCACTCAACACTGGCTGCCTCTCACTGGGCTATGGATGGGCCCCGGGGAACCCCAGTGGGACCAGTGGGGGACTTTGCAGCAGGTAGTGACAGGACTAACCACAAAAGGCGTCTGAACTGCTGAGTGCGAAGACAGTCTGGGTGCGCCGGTGGGGAAGGCAGCTCCGCCGTTTCAGCCAGCACTGCAGGCAGCAGCAGATCCCGCAAGACAGAAGCAAGGCCAGGAAAAACAACATCAGGAACCTGAGGCAGAGGCAGGAGGGAGGAACAGTACCATCACCATCTGCAGGAAGCACCGACAGATGGCTGCATGTCTTCAAATTAACATATTCATTAACATCTTTTGCAAATAGCTGTTAAATGCTGCAGTTTCCCCACCAGCATACTGGACATGATCAAAGTCCCTGGAAACCAGTGTCTCAGTGCTGAGTGCTCAGCGCTGAGTGCTGCCCGGAAATTCAAACATTTCTCCCTAAAATCGTTCATTGGTTTTGTGGAGCTCAGTTGTCAGCATACAGTGAGGAGGGTATGGATAAATGATTTCCATTAGTCAGTAAAGACAGAACACAGGGACAGCCCAGGAGCAATGCTCTCTAGCTATCAGTCTCTCTCAATGTGCCTTTCTCTTTCTATATCCATCAAAGAATATTATTTGCCAGTTTTCCCTTCCAGAACAGATCTGAAACTTACCACACATACCAGCTGCTAAAGTTTTCATCACTTTGCCTGATGCACCTAAAAAGGGAAAATATAAAAGAAACTTTCAGTCCAGTGTGAGGGGACTGTAATGGCTCCAATGCACATCTACTGACACAAAGAGAAGCATCACTGGTAAGCAGAGGGTTGAGAAGTTTTCCTCCATCAGGGGAGCACTGTTAAAAGTTTCTTCATGTAGATGGGAGCAGATGCACATGAAGTAAGAAGCAGCCTGAAACTAGTTTGCCTTTCAACATTACCACCCACCACCAACCTTTTTAATGAAACCCAAAGGGTTGCCAGCTTCCTTTTCCTCTTTCGGAAGACAAGGTAAATGCCCTTTTCCTGGAAGCCCTCATTTCTCTGCCATGCCAGTGTGCCAGGCGGGAGCATCCCTGAAAGAGCTCAGTTTGGGAGCAGCTGAGAGTGAGAAAACAGAGAGCCACACTCACCTCTCACCAAGCTCACAGTCCGACGCAGAGTCTGCTAACTGAAAACACACATGTAAATCAGAAAGGGCAGATATTTGTCGGGTTCTTTATGATTAAACAGTATAATTACTGATCTTAGAGTGGGAAGTTGGAGAGGAAAAGCCATAAAGGTGCCTCTGCTTGTCTCTGGTCTGATAGCCTGCACCAAAAGCAGTGGATAACCTCATAGAGAGCTTGATAAATACAGTAGTTTGCAGATGAAAGCTAGGACAAGGGGAAAGCATTTCTTTTGATGTGAAAGAGGGAAAAACAAGAACAGGGAGACTCAAGCAGGTGTCAGAGACCTGTTTACAGAACTGGGCTTTGTTATTCAGAAATGTCTGTTCAAAAGGTCCTGTCACCAAATTCTTGGTTTGTGGCTCATTTTCCAGTAGCTAATTGTACATGTAGCTGTAAATTGGAGCTGTTTTGACCAGACTTGTTCTCTACCCAGCATTTTCCTTTTTTCAGATAGTAGTGGTGCATCATTCCCAGAGTCAGGTTTCAGGTATTGCAAATACGTGAACCTGAAGCTTGTTTTTCAGGTATATTTTCTACTATTCACTCAAGCAAGCTTCTTTTTTGCAAGCCTTCTTGATCTTTGCCTCAGTTTCAGGTTATTTGGGGAAAAAGTAACCGGAGAGGCTCATCGGTATGATTCAAGCAAATCCGATGCAATTTTTGGCTGACTCACATTATTTGTGTTATAACACCTGCCCAACTTTGCTACAAAAAACTTCTGATCAGATACAGAATTGCAATAACACTGGCAAGCAGAATGAGCAAGATGGAAAATTTTAGTTTTATTCCTTGGAGAAAACTTTAGAACATAATTTGTAAATCATTACTTTGGATTCGCTTCTGCATGTATCCAAAGCACGCAGAGATTTCTGACTTTCTTTAAGCCAAACTGGAAAGCTGTGTTCTGTATTAGAAATTTGTATCAAATACATATAATCGAGAGTTATCATATTACATCTCTAATCAACAGGACTTCTTTGTAAGGATTTTGTTGTCCAAAGCTTGTGTCACTATAAGCAGGAAGAAATCAGCACACAAACCTCTATAATGTGTCTGATCCTGTGCAGACACTGCCTTTCTGTCCCTAGTTTCACCAGAGGTCTTTAGGTATAGTAAATCTTTCATATAAAGCATTACCTGTGAAATTTCATGAGCAATTGAAGCCCAAATGAGGAATAGAGAAAAGGACAGAAGCTTCAACTCTTCCAGACATGTCCTTTTAAAACTGAGTTAATTTGCCATGTCACACATATACCCTGGTGCAGAACACTTTAATTTTATTTTTGCACTTCACCTGAATATTGGAATAACAGCTCAAAACCAGACAGCTGATTGCTGTGATTACATGTACCCTGAGTATTCTTCATGGCTGAATGACAACCTCTGGACTTTCCTTTATCATCCTTCAAACTACCTCAGCAGAGCTACCTTAGAGTAGTTAAATTGCAGCAAAGTGCATCTGCTCTGAGGTAGTAATCTATCAATGCAGCAAACCACCTACCCATGCTGCTGAAAGCTCATGCTCTTCCATTTCAATAGCCATAGACAGAATAAAGGATTAAGGCAGTTGCGTTTTCATTAACTGGAACTGTTGTGAGCTTTAAATCCTCCCCAGATCTGTCAGGTCCTCAGGGAATTCTTTCTCAAAAAATAAAGAGCTGATGACTAAATGATATAAAAGTTGAAGTCTTTCCCCCACCCCAAAATCCCTAAAATCAGCCTGGTCCCAGTGAAGGGTTTGGTTACCTGCAAGAAGCTTAAACACAGAACTCCAGTTCCTGTGATCCATGAAGTGAGACACAAAGCTCCAGGTCTTTGCATCACTAGCAGGAGAAACATGGGAAGAGCTTTGTTTGCAGCAGTGTTTTACCCTCTGTAATTTGGAGCTTTTAAAACTTCTTTGCATGTTGTGCCTTCAGCCAAAAACCACACTACCAAATGGGTTCCTGCGCTTTAGAAATTACTGCTAGCCAGGGCGTGGATTTGGGTTCGCATGGGCACACTCAAACAGCTGCTAGAAGTTAAAGGAACACTAGTTTAAGGTCAGCACCTTGTAGTTATTTTGGTATTTTCATAGCTGTTCACAGATTCCTGTTGCTGAAGCTTAGTTCTATATTAACCCACGGCTGTATTTAACAGGCCCTGCTACAAATAATCACTGGAGACTATATTGCGAGGCCATGCTTTCATTGCAAGCTGCCTTCGGCTGCGATTCTGGCATTACAGAAAAAGCGGAGCTACCTCCAACCATCTCTTTTGCACTATGACTACCACTTCAAACACGTGCACAAGGATGAAGGAAACTCTTCCCAGCCTAAGACAACCACTACCCAGTACCTCTGCTGCTGCTACGCAGCTGCCAGAGGCTGGTTTGCTAGGAAAATGCTTCCAAAAAACCACACATCCCCAGTGGTTCTCATAAGGGATACAAAATTTCATTGCACAGTATAAGAGCCACTTTGATCCTGATGGATATATCCAGATGACATAGTAAAACAGGAGTGGAAGATGGCTTGCTCCGTAGTTCTGATCACTGCAGAACGGAAGATGCCAGTTTGTTTGGCTGTCAGTAGTAGATTGTCACTGAAGTTTACAGCCTGTGGCTGAAATGCACCATTAACTATGGTTCTTCCAGATTTAACACAAAGGTGTTGCTGTGAATACGTTTAGTTGTCACTCCAGAAGTTAAGCATTATGTTGCGATGCCATTACTTCAGTAATGATTGACAAAGCTAAACTTCTCTCAAGATATTCCTCTGTGGCTACGCTTCAACTAAAAGGTCAAGAAGTCTAACCAGCTCTGATACACATATTCAGTCCAGGTTTGTTATTTATTGTTAAAGTTTTGCATAAACCCAGTCCAAACCCTGGTGTTCTCAAATGTTTATTTTTAGCTCACTACTAATTAAAGGCAAGCCTCTGAAATGATTCCCTCTGAGAAAGCATCTCTCATAATGGTGCTGAGTGTGTGTGCTACACAGTATAAATGGTCTGATCACATTGTTTGTCCTGGTTCAGACCAATTATTTTCAATTTTGTTCAACAGTAGATTGCCCAAACAATTTTCAGCTGTTTTCGTAAAAGATAAAGCTCCTGAAGTACAGAAATGTGCACAGCCTTGCTGAGAACCTTGCGACTCATACAATTTCAGGCTTCTAAGAGATCATTTATCATTGAACTAATTTCAGATTTCTTCTTTTCACGATTACTTCCCTCATGCCAGCACCCAGGGTACATGCAATTTAGAGCTACTGGATGAATCATCCCCAGCGTTTCAGGGAGCAGGTACCACAATGAGCTCCTGGTACTGAAAAATACCACATAGTGTCTATTCTTGATCTGTTTCTAGAAGAAAAGGGGAAAAATTGAATTCTGCCGCTGCTGTTTGTCTGGCTTTGAAACAAGCTTTGAAGTTTTCTGCCAGTTGGTCCCATACAGAGGTTTCAAGTAGTGGTGGCAATTTGTGGAGCCAGTTCTTGTATTCTCTGTAATGCTGATGTTGAGAGGAGAGAGAGTTGGCTAAGAGAGGTCCACAAACTGCCCTGTGTTTTGCTTCAGGCATGATCCTGATACTGAAAAGAGCTGCTGCTTCAGCAGGAAAACTCTCCCTGTCCATGATCTGCTGAGCAGCTTGAATACATGAATGTCATAAAGAGCCCCAGCACTTGCTCTAAGGCAGCCAGAACCTAACACTGAAAGCCCAGAGGAGCTCTGCATTGAAACCTATGGAGGGCTGTGACCCTTCCTGCCCACTCCCTGCCTACTGTGACACTGCTGCCTTTGGGTTTCTGTAATATTGAGAGAAACATCTGAGTAGTTCTGCGTCCAAGGAATAACTCCAGTCTAGGCTTTCTGTCATTCCCCTGCAAAGAGATACATATGTATATACCTACATGAAGGTAACCCCTGCTCCCACCTCTTCATGCATTTACTGATGTAAAGTTAGATATCTCTTGCCTCCTCTATCAACTATACCCACCTCATCAGCAGACATGGGAGGCTGCTCTCTGATAGATGTTAACTCCTGGCCATTAGATTAAAAATCTGTTATTTCCTCATCACCTTATGTCGTTGCTAGGTGACAAATGCATCTCTCAGGCAGCAACAGGGACTACTGCAACATACAGCAATTTACGACTGTCCATTATCTTTTTGCTTAAAGTGCCTGCTCCTTTCAGTGGGAGGAAGACGTGCAGTTCTAGGAGTATCAAAAGGGTGACTTTTAGAGTTGCCACAGTAACCATCTCTACTGAGGGCTGGCTCTTGCTGGACTTCATAAGAAGGGATGCAAGACTGGGAGAGAGGAAGAATTTGAGAGAAGCTGATTTAACTTATTAAGTCTGATAGGGCTGAGGTTGGATTGGGAGTCTGAATTTCAGAAACCGATCTTGTTCTTGTACATATGTGCGCTAGAAGTGATGGCTTTTGCTTGCCATACAATAATTTTCAGTCATACTTTTGGTTTGAGGCACAGTTTTAGGGAATACTCTGGAGACCTCTGGATTTTGGTGAGAGTGGTGAGGAATTCACTAACAAGCAGGAGCCCACACAGAGCCCCCGACAGCTCATAAGCACAGTTAGCAGTTTAAACCTGTTTAAGGCTCTTCCTTAGATGCCTTCAGAGCATTTGTTGACTGCTGGGAATGACTTTTGGGAAAGTAATCACCTTGCTAAACTCTGACCAGTTCTCTATACAGTCCTGAACGGGACTGTGAAAGTCTTTTCCAGAAAGCAAGGAAGAAGGGTGGCGGGAGGAGAGGTAGGACAGACACAGGGAAGGACATGGGACGCAAGGGAGAATGCACAGGGTTGGGGTGTGGAAGGGAGATAAGCAAAGTCAGGGCAGCCCCACTCTCTACATTAAGGTCAGCTGACAAGCGTTAATTAAGCATGTGTTGCCTTTTTTATGTTGCAGTGTTTCTGCATCACCACCACAATCAGTTTTTCCTCCAGCCCAAGTCCACTGAGAGCTCGCCCCTCCCTACACAACTTCACCACCGTGGCTGGTGCAGTCTTTGCTTTTGCAGCTGCATCCTCAGCACCTAGGCTCAGCCAGGCTGCAATTATCCCTTCTGGCCTGGCCTGGGAAGACCCAAGGCAGGTCAATTCAGTTTAGCCCAAGAGAAGAGCAGGGTAACAGGAAGGACTGAGGATTGACTTTCTGCAACACAACTAAAGAACCTTTGGTCTCATCCTCACAAAACGAAAGCTGCAAGGGGCTGCTTGCTCCCTGCAAACACAAGAATAAATCCAGCAAGAGGAGTGCTATTTAAGATAATGGCCAGTGCTGGCATGGGAACAAATGGAAGCAAACTGGCCATGAATAAATTGAGGCTGGATATGTAAAGAAGGTTCACACCATCCAGAGCAGTGAGGTTGTGTAGCAGCTTGTCCGTGGGAGGAGTGTGGGCACAAAACCAAATGGCTCCCAGGATGGAAGGCATCAAGCTCCCACAGGGGATGTAACTCCTTCAACAGAGCTGGCTGACCCAGGGGGTCCTTTCTGACCCCGTGGAAACCATTGGACTTGGACATTAAACCCATCCGCATGCACAAGAGTCAGCCAGCACAGCCTCGGGCTTGTGTGAGTGAGGAAGGATGAACTCTTTAAAATAAGCCTTAGTAGAGCTGGCACAGCCTGTTGTCTTTCAAAAGGATTATAACTAGTTGCTGCTCACTGATGAATACGGCCCTTTGTGAGGCTGTGCGGGGGACGTGCTGCACAGGGGGAAGGAAAGACTCCAGGCACTGATTTAAATGAGTGCAAACAAGGATGACATTGTTCTGCTGCATCCTCCCCAGGAGCAAGGCTTTGCAGGTCACCCTCAGATCTGATGCAACTGCAACTATCTCTGTTGTTTCAGATGGTCCAGAGAGCCCTAGTGTTTGTCTTGGTCTATCAGTAGGGAAAATCCAGAAGAGAATGGGGTCAGTGAAGCCTTTTGCCTTGCAGAAAGCTAAAGGAAAAGTAATCTTCTTTTAGGTTAGTTAATTGCAAAAGATATTTCTCCTATGTATTTGCGCGTATCCCGGACTGAGAACTGCAGAAAACTGTCTTTAATACACACGTGTTCATGGAGCCTCAAGTCCTTAAAACACACAATCATGGGAAGTCAAAACTCAAAAATGTCCAAAGTATAAACCCCATTGAACTGTTGTGAGAAATTGTTGTGAATTATCCAAACACCCCTGTTCCAGCCCTATAGTGAACACCTGAAATAGATACTGCAGAAACTGAAATACTGAGCAAACATGAAAATATTAAGGCAGGAGACTTCTTGCTTTGGAATTCACAGGGGGAAGAAACTTTGAGAAATGGACCTAACAAGTATGTTGTGTATGCCCACAACTCTGATGCCGACTCCCCATTAAAACCGGAAAAGAGTGTGCAGGGTTTTACAAAGAGCTGTGCTGTGGTGGAGCAATGGGAAGCTGAAATACAGTGTTTTGTTGAGGTTTGTTTTGAAAAAGTGGGTTGAACCCCCTCCCCCCCCCCAAAAAAAAAATCCTAAACAACTGGATTAGGGCTAAGCTTGGCAGTTGTTTGGCTTTACTGGAGAATTTAGAGCTCAGAATTGCATTTGAAGATCTGCTGCACCTGAGGAGTAAATTGTTGTTTGGCTTCTCTTATTTCTGGCTTGGACATCAGGACTTGCAATAATTCCCAGATGACTTCTCACATAGTCACGAACATTACAGCCTACCTGGAAAAAGAGTGTAAGAGACCTTTCATCTCCCAAGCTCCCCAGAAAGGCACTGTACCTCCCACAGAGCATGTCAGAAATCAGTTCCAAGGGCTGGATAACCCTCAAGACTTGAGGAACAGAAAAGCAGAATTAAGGATAAAGTTGATAAAATTAAAAGCAGCTTGAATAAAGCAAAAGATGAAGTATACCAGAAATACCAGCAAAGTAATCACCAGCAGAAATTTTCCCCTTTATTTTTTTAATGTGAAATTGAAGCTGATTACAGGTACTTGAATCCTGAAGCC